TATCTATCCAAATTAAAAAATCTTATTCATCAGTTGGTAGCATTAGCTTTTTGTCTAAAAGAAAAGGGCAAAGAATACATAAATTATATTGATGATAAGTCTACTAACAATGATCATCCAATCTCAAATAGTGAACCTCGAAAAAAATTTCTCGACATCATCAAACAGATTTTTAATAATAGCTCTATTCAATAATTTCAATCCTCAATTGAAGTACAACGCATAACTGGGATTGATTAATCGCGTATTGGAAAGTTTACAAAGGATGTAAGGTGACTTCTTTTCAAATTATAGATTAAGCAAGAATCTACGACGATTAGTATGGTGCGGGAAATCTATACTCAATAATCACGTGATTTGTTTCAATTTTAATTGACCAATAATATCGTATTAGTATCGTAATATGATAAGCAAAAAAATTTTATTATGATATGTATGTCCCGTACCATATTTGGTTCGATCTACCAATTTTAACCAATTATATGCTCACGCGGTTGTTTCAATTTTGATCAAACTTATGAACTTCAAAACCCTATAACTTTTTACACAAATATTATTTTTAAAATTTGACCGATAACTTTGTAGAGCTTACTGTGAAGAACAAAAGTACACGGTCAGATTTAAAAATAATATTTTGTGTCACGTGATTGTCGAGTATAGATTTCCCGGACCATACTAAAAATCGTGTGAAATAAAAATGTACGTAATAGTAAAATTATTAATTTTAACCCTGAATTTTAATAATCATAAGCACGAAAATATATTCAGTGCTCCGAACTTAGTATTAGCTAAACTAACCTTACTATTACCATGCTTTTATGACTACTTTTCATCTACTGCAGGAGATATTGGCGAATTTTGACTAATGCTGTCAGCACTGCTTGCCTCCCATCTGGCTCTGCAAGATTGAAACCAGTTCTCAACCCATTTGCTCCCGGCCACCTTTTAATCACAACTGACTGATCTGGTAAACCTCTGTTAAGCTCCTCCCAATATGTTGCGGAAATTACAGTCTTGTAGAGTGTAACATATGTAGAGATGATACGAACACCAAATATAGTTTGATTTCTATGTTCCTCAGCGAGACGATTATTTTCATCCCCAAGGGAGAGCATTTCAGCAGCAAGTTGTGCTTCTCCAAAACCATTCGATTTGCTGATTTTTTTACGTTTATCCTATTTTTGTAAAAAAGGTCATTGAGCAAACAATAATAATAATATGATTTGTCAAACAATTGACACATACAGACTCTATAACCATTAAAGAGGAATTTTCAATCTTAATCACAAACTCAGGATCCGCTGAAACTGATACATCATCAATTATTAATTCGCAGTGTGGTTTATATCTGTGTTTGAATGTAGTGCAAAAATTTAAGGAACCTTTGGAGTGCATCATAAATTCAAGACAATTCACATTGCTACTCACTTGACAATCAAGGGCCATGAATCCAGATCGAGTGTTCGGAACAACAGATGGGTTACCATTGAGTCAGTAATAGTTTTACTTGTGCCTATATCGAGACCTGCATTCTTGACGACAGCATGCAGATTGTAGAGGAATGCTTTGACATGTCTATCTGAGATTTTATCACATCGAAATCTCGCTTTTCGAGTACGTCACTGTTGATTTCGGGAACAAGGTATTGGCTCGGAAAGTCGGTGACTACATATTTGAAAATTGTTAATCCGAGTTCTCTAGGAGAAAGGCTAACACAAAATACTTACCGTCAATTGCGGAAATGATTTCATTATCACATATAGCGGTTGGAAACTCGTTTTTAATATAGTAAGATCTTGGTTTTTAAACAGGGATG